GCAGTTGTGGCTATGGCCCCAATCCTGGTAGGGACTGGAGCCCAAGCTGCAGCAGCTGTCTGGTCCCGTCCCCTCCTACCATTCTTCTATGCGATTCTAGGATGACGGTTTTCTCCCCCATATTAACTGGAGGAAAAACACCTTGTGTTAGAATTGAGTAAATGCAGTGTGTTCTCTCTTGGTACAATCATGTGCTATAAAATATAGTACAGGAAACCCTCAGTATTTGCAGTTTTCAAATATTTGCGAATGCTGAACCCGCATTTTAAATACACTTTAAACACTTACTGGAGTTCCTTGGGAGCTCCGCGCTTGCTGCTGCGGGGCTCCCTCCACCCCCCAGCCATCAGGGGCACTGCGTTCATGAATGCAGTGCCCTATTCACGGATTTCTCCATTTGCAGGGATCACGGGAACGTATGCCCAGCAAACAGTGAGGGTCACCTGTAAAAGCTCTCAAAATGTTTCTGAAAGGGCTTGAAATTACTCAGGATTAGTGACTTGTGGTCAAATTCATCCCCCGCATACAAACATTAACATGTTTGTATACAAGCCATTTATTTTTATACTCCTCAGCCATTTCTATTCACGCTCAATGGGTATGAGTGCCCTGTGGTATCTGACAAGTTATTTAGTTTCTCATTAGTAGTGATATCCCTCTAGACTACAGTTGTATTTTATCCACATACCTCCATCAATATTCACCATCATAATTACCAGGTTCATGAAATAAGAATCAAATGATTGAAAGCAAAGGCCTATCTATATTTTTTCAGACTTTTTAATAGAAAAAGTACAACAATTTATTATTCACAATAAGTATACTTTGGAGGGTTGTTGTTATCACAATTTATGAAATAATACACACTTTATCTCTAAAATCAGTGTTAGAAATAGTTAAATTAATACAACTATTACTTTAGTCACAATGTGAAACAGAAATGAACTGAGATTGCATTTTTCAGTGTCTTTCTCTCACACACACACATCGACTTCGGTGTATCTGATTGTCCATTGATATGTTGTTCTTCTTTTTCTCCACATACTTGGAAATCTGGGTCTGCAACTTTATTATCTTCCATAAATTAAGATCCAAATAAATTCAAGAATAAAAATAGAATTAAATAACACAAAATAAAAAAAAGATAGAAAGAAATGACCAAAATAATAAAAAATATTTAAGGAGGAGTTTTCACTTACTATTTTAGACTGATGGAGTGATCCTTATGTAGGTTTAAATCAGGGCTAATACATCCCTAGGCAGGGTGTAATAGATTATCTCCAGACATAAGTGATGAATTGGAATTTAATATCTTCATTTAAAAAGGCCTTGAAGGATCAAAAGGTGACTGTTGTGTTAGGAATTTATTTCTTTGTCTCTGGCCCTTTTCTCTTCCTCTCAGCATCCATTATATATGAAAGAATTATCTTTTCTTTCTTGATGATGGCATCTTCCATTGGTTTGTTGACTTCTTCATAAATTTAGCAAAGGTATAAGTAGGTTTTCCATGACATCACAAGTTTTAAACCTACTCTGAGATTTTAGGCAGTAAAAATACATGAGGAATGAGGTGGAATTGCATTTATTTAAAAAATCTTTTTCTATATTGCATAAAAATACCATCAACTTCACATCTGTGGCCATTAATAAAGGATAGCTAGGTCATCTGATACTCTCCTTCATACATTAATATTTCTGGATACTTCTGATGCATGAGGTGCACAAACCCATGCATATGTCAAGCTGGGAAGATCCACAAAAGGATAAATGCAGGAAACTACAAAGAGTCAGATGCAATCTACTTAAAATGGACTTCAAAAATGCAAGGTACAACAGAAGTAGACAGAGGAAGATACTTGCTTTTCTAGACTACATTAATGTAAAATTTGTAAAGAAATCTATTTGATATAATTTAAACATAAATCCATCAATCTTCAAAAGATTTTAATTTTTTGATGAGAACTTAGAGCATTTTCTTTTGGGAGCCACACATCTATAGCCAATGGTATCAGAAAAATAGAATAAGTAGAATTTCCTAGAACTTATGCAGGGTTTCTTTATCTACATATTTCAAAGGGCTTTGCAAACATCAAAGCACTGTTATCTTCTTTTATAAATACATGGACATTGAGATACTAAGGGATCAAGCTACTTTGTCCACCCTTACCCAATGAATTAGTAACATAACTAGGAAAATAACTTAGGTTTTCTGGCTCCCAATTTTTTGTCTTAGCTACTAAATAGCATTTCAGTGTTGGATCAAGCAGCAGAAGAATCTGCTGCCGATCTCACTGAATGAGATCATTATCCATCAAAGCCATTAAAGTATGCTTATATACTTTGCTGAACCTCAGTCTACCAATAGACATGTATTCAATAGGAGCAATGAAAACCTTAGAAATATACTGGCCAGAGGGCTGTGCAAAATTTCACCTGGTGCTTCGTTTCAATGCGTTTCAAGCTCAAAATGGTGAAATCAAAATGAAACAAAAGCCTTTGAAACAGCTTTGAAATGAAACAGGGGCACCTGAAACACTTCAAAAGCTATGAAACATTTCGAGTTTCAAAGCCAGCCTTACCTGGCTTCAGCCCGCAACCCCAGGAGCAGTCTGGCACAGCCCCCGCAGACCTCCCAGGGGTTTGGGCAAGCCCCGATCTGCCTGTCAGATGACAGGAGGCTGGTGCTGCTAGTTGGGACCAGCGCTGGGTGCAGCCCGTATCAGGAAGATCGGTGCTGCTGCTGGCCCCAGCCATTCTTCCTGGAGCTGGGTGCGGAATAGCCTATGGGTGAAACATTGAAACAGCATCAAAACAGTGAAACAGTTTCAATGAAATGAAACGGAACAGTGCTTTCAAAACAAAATGAAACTCAAAACAAAACACTGTTCCATCGAAACAGAAGTTGAAGAGGAATGATGCTGTTTTGTATGGCCCTACTGGCCAGGTAAATTCTTTTATACAATGTTTCTTTTTTTAAGTTTGATTCATTGTTAAAAAACACTATATTAAGATATTAAGGTCCCGATACTGCAAGGTCTTTACATAGCCAGAATAACATTTATATGGAATACCAGTGATGCCAACAGTATCTATGTATGGCATCCCAATAGCTTTCATCACCATGATAACTAAGATAAAGATGCTCAGCTTTCATTGATGATGTGTTTCCATTCATGGGACCTATGCCAGCTTACACCAAAACATCCTGGCCAATTGATGTCAATGGGAGCATTGCCATCAGCACCAACAAGGCCTCCAAAAAGGGATCTGCCCCAGAGGAGTAATCTATGGGTCTCTCATATCTACTTTATAAACAATTCTTAATGAACAAGCATTCATGCTGTGGCCTCATTATTTATTAAAAAGCATTTCATTCAAGATAATTTACCTCTTCTGTCAAGAAATGTCATTCTTAACCTCAAGGTAATTATTCCTATTTAAATTTCAGCGGGTCCATGTATTAATAGTCTGTTCATTATGTGCAAGCTCTTCATTTCAAATATCAAGTATTTTATCATAGTTTTTGCATAAGATGGAAACATATGATGATATGCAGCAAGATGGAATGAAATGTGTGAATTTTCCCATTCTATTTTTTTAATCTCCAGGTGGCCCCTGGAGCTGACTGCATTTTTTGTAGTCTATTCCTATTTTAATTATCTTGATTAGCCAATAGCATGTTTCAAAGATGCATTTGTGACAGGTAATATCATATGATAGCATTTAATTGTGTTTTGAAGTGTAGAGCCAGGTAACTGATTAGGCCATAATTTTAAAGATCCTAGTAGAAGACAAACTGATAGAAGTTATGACATAACTAGAGATTATGGGCCTGACACTTATTTCATATATGTTCACACAAGTGAAACATCCTCAAACTCAGTGGAATTATGAATATGAATGGGATCAGCGTCAAACTGTATTCAAAGTGGATTTCATGAATGTTTGTCAGTAGATGGATTAACAGAATAGCAGAAAAATGCAGGAACTCTTAGACACCCTTGGGAAGAAGTGGTGCAGAAAATGAACTGAACTAATACCTTCTAGTGAGAAGAATTTGATTAACAGTCTGCTCTGGAATTAAACAATGATAATTTGTGATGGACATGACTTACCAGATCCTGAACCCTGGTTCAGCATTGCACAGTTCTTGGAATTTCAAAAGAGTGGGCCTTTTAATAGATTCTCCTTGCTTGTGCAGAGCCACTTTTTTCCCTGCTTTCACCCTTACATAGAAAGCAGCGAAAGGGAGGCATATGCCTAACCATTATCTTTCAGGAGCTATTGTTAGGAAATTTAAAGTTAGAGTACCTTTAAACTAATTCCATTTTATGTTGGGAATAGGATTGTAAACCAGGTCGAGGGAGACAAAATAATGGTTTAGCACCATCTTTGCTCTCTCTGCCTCAAAATGCAATCTAGGATCTGAACTCACATCTAAAAAGCAGAATACTTTTCAAAGATTAAGGCATAGACAGGAAAGCACAACTATTCAATGTGCAGCATTTTCCTGGACATTATTTTTTCAACTACAGAAAAAGAAATTACTATCCATTTAATTCCAAATGATAGCTTATCCATGGCCACTCTAAGTACATTGATTATGTATTTTAGATGTTTTAAAAATCTTTATATGTTGCACTTTTCTGTCCCTTGCTTACAGACTCACATACTACTACGGGATGCATAAGGTTATTCATATTATCACATAATTTATGTCAGGTACTTCAGTTCAACAGATTGTACAAATTCTCTCTCAGCATTCCACATGATGCCAATAAAATTGTTTTTATATAAAGCCTCATACTCCTCTTGCCAAATTCTGGGATTTTTATTGTGCAAAATTCCCAGAGAGGTCAAAGAAAGATTTGCTTGAATAATGCTCACAGAACTTGGCCCCATAATTTTGGCCTGTTCTGCAAAACTATCATTTAAAAATGTTTCCACAGTGGAATTTTGAAGCTATGCTTTGTGAAGGAAAGGTTTCATGCAATACTTACGGGATCCCTTTTTACAAGGCCTGGATTAGGCACTACCACAATAAGATGGGCGATTGTAAACACAGAGTTAAGCACATAAGAGAAAAATAAATTCTTATGCAGTGTTATCCTTTGACAGCTGAGGCTCCTGAAAAATATGTAGCACAAGTTGTAAATTAGTGTTTTTATTCTGATGTCACTTTAATGTGCACATTCTGGCAACTATTTCTCAAGAATGCCATTTGGCAAGAGGTAGTCGGAAAACACATGCCTAGCATTACAGCCGTGAGACGCAACAATTTTTTGTTTCCCTATTTACACCTGTTTAGAACCACCTGCTTCCCAGACCATATTGTAAGGGCCTATTGGCTCAAATTCTGAACTGTAGAAGGTTGTTTTTCTGGGGGTTTTTTCCCACAGTAACAGAACTGTTAAGTAGTGAAGCAGAACCCTGATAATTATTTCAGATGTGCATGAACACAAATGTTGAATGGCAGGAATCCTGCATTTGTTCTCCAAAAGTTAAATATCTCAAATATTCAGATGAAAATTATTTGATGCTTTTGGCATTAGTGATGAGTCAGAATGGGAATCTTGAACTGGAATCTCCTTAATTTTAAGGGAGATTTAGTTTTGCATCCTGCATGCTTTTTATTCCAGTGTATCTCCTAAGCCAGAAAAAGACCTATTTTCCTGTTCAGATGTGGTCAAAATCTTAAATAAATTGCTGATTAATTTTGTAGGCTTCCTAACTCTTGAGGTAAAAATCCCACAAGAATAACTAAAAAATGTCTGTGTTCTTGAATCATTACCCTAGCCATGATTTTAGCTTCAAACCTGATCTCTAGCTTAAATCTAATTTATATCTGAATCCAACCACTACCACCTCAGATCACCTGCAAAGATGATGAGGGATAGAGAAAATGTGGAATATTTTTCAACAAGAACACCTGGTACATACCTTACTGTAGCTGAACCAACCCTTCCCTATGCGCTAGCAGCCTTTTGCAACTTTAACTTAATGTAAGCCGGCATTTTAACTTTGCTGCTGTCTGTGCTGTATGTATGTACACATGCAAGAGGCAAGGATTTCTTAGGGTGATATCTTTTATTGGACCAACTGTGTAGCACAGGTAGACAAACTTTCAAATGCAAGACATGCTCTGTTAGGTCTGACCAGAAGATCCAAGCACAGCATAGTAAAGGTCAGTAGTGGGAAGGGGTGAGAGAAATTCCCAAGGGTAGCAGACCCACAGGGCATGTATACATGCTCTGTAGGAGGGGTGGGGGTACTTTAATTAGAACAGCTTTTACAGCTCTTGGAGCTGCTCTAATTAAAGCACCCAGAGCATCTCATGTAACAGCGTCCTCACCAGAGGAAGACTAAGGTATATTGGGGACCTAGGCAAACACAAAATTGGATGTCCCCTTCACCCACAGGAACTGGGCTGCAGGGGTGGGGAGAGTGGTCCCTCCCCCTCCTGGTGCTGGCAGGGGAGGCTGGGTGGACCCTGCCAGGCTGAGGGTGTTGGGGCACTGCCTGCCTCTTCTCCCTGATCCATGCCCCACCTCGCCTGCTATGGCTGAACGTGCACACACACATGCACATACACAAGTGCACACACAGACAGGTATACACTCTACTCTCACTCTGCATGTGGACACACAGATGCAAACACACTCTCCCTGCCATGAACAAACACATATGCACACAGACAGACAGACGCATACTTTTCCCTCATAGGATGTCCTTCCTGCCCCACTCAATTACTCTGAGGCGGCCCCCCCCCCAATGGATCCATCTAGCTCCCTGCCCTGGCCCCTATTAGGGAGCTGTTGCCCAGCTGTCGTGTGTGGCTGCACAGATACACAGGGCTGGGCCAGGAGTGCCGCGCTGCACCACACCACACTGTGCCTCTGAGTGGGTGGTGGCGGTGCTGGGAGGGGTGGCTATGGGGATGCTAAGATGAATTTTGTGGGGGCTATAGTCCCCCAAGGCCTCCTCCAGCACCACTGCCCACTCACCTGCAGAGGCACACTGCAGCGCTCCTGGCCCTTCCTGGCCCTGGCCACCCCCTGCCAGGCAAGATGCAGCATTCCCAGCCTGGCCTGGCCCCACCTCCTTGGTGGAGGGCCCATGCTTCCAGCTCCCAGGGAAGCAAATGTAAATGCAAAAGCTGTGATTTTAAACTTGGTGCCATTTTTCTAACTCCCCAGGAGGGGGACAAACATGGTGCTGAGTTTAAAACCACAGCTTTCACTTCTCTGCTGAGGATCCCTGGGGAATCAAATTGGTAGTGGCCTCTGAGCCCAGGCCCAGCTGGCCCATTTTTTAATGTGCCTATGGTTCCTGTGCTTAAAAATAGTGGCAGGGGCACTTTATCTAAAGCTCGCTGAATGAGCTTTAGATAAAGTGCCCCTGCTGCCATTTTTAAGCACAGGGATGCTGATACATGAGACATTGGAGGCTACTGGATCATGGTAATTACCACATTCCAGGAGACTCGATTAATCGAGTCTGCTCTGACATATTGGAGCATCCTCACTGCTCCTGTATAGGTGCTCACAATTAACAGAAGAAAAGAAGCTGATTAGTAGGAGATCAAGGCCTATCAAAAGGGAGGGGGGGCATTCTCATCTTTCATGTGTGGAAAGGTAAAATACATGTCAGGTAAGATACAATGTGCTATAAAACCAGTAACAATGTTTAGGCCTTGGTGCTTAGTGTCCAGCCATCTTATGAATTTTTGTTTACAAGTTCACCTTTTAAAGGTGTTAGACAGATTTCCCTTGGGCATGAAGATAGTGAGGTCAAAGGTGGAATGGTTGTTCTGTGAGAAATGTGATGCTAATGGCATGTGTTTCTGTCCTTTATATATTTTATGCAGTTTCCCCTCTCCATTCTCATCTACCCATTCTCCTACTAGCACAAATCTAAGTATCATATCTGTATCAGTTTCTCTCCTCTGGTGACATTTTCCCATTCATGCTTGCCTTTTTACCACTTCCACCTTCACTTCAGCACCAACTCTGTACCTCTTGTGCCACTAGTCCTAACCTCATGCCCTTCACCACTCTCTCCTTCTCTTTCTGTCTCTGGAACCCACATTCCCTCTTTACAAGGACTGGAGCCATCTCTGATCTCTTAGTATTTCATTCCTGCAAACTCTTAGCTCTCAGGGGGCATGTCTACATGTGCGCATTTTTGTGCAGTAACTAAAATTACCGTTCAGTCTGGGCTACATCTACACATGCACTCCTGTACTGCACAGTAAATATGGTGACTTACACCAACTTGAGCATAAATTTGACACCTGCATCCTGCAGGTATGAAATGTATGCCCAATTAGTTACAGTGTAGTAACACATGTGTAGACACCTTACTGAGCAGAAACACTGTGTAGGACACAGAACTAACTTTAGTCCCAAGTCAGTCCACACACAGCGTTAATGTGCTTTAACACCTGCACATGTAGACACTGGCCTATTCCTACTTATTGTGCAGTAACTCACTGCAGAGTAAATTTAAGCCAGCGTAAACGCACATGTAGACATGCCCAGAGACACCTAGACCTCTTTGGCTGGAAATACTTCGACAGCTGCTTTCTTATGGAGACCTCACCTTCTCTGACATTCTGGATCAGACCATTTGTGTGTGATGATGTTAGGCTTCTCTTCTTCCATTCTTGGTGCTTCCAACCCTTTCCTACTTGCACATTTCAGCCTTGCTTCTTTTTTGAACTCTTTTCGTCACATATTACTGTCATCCACCATCCACCCATTTCTCCACATGGGCCTGCATTCCTAATTTTGACTCTTGTCTCTTTCTCCTCACATTATTCCACAATCATTCTCAATTACTTCAACTTCCATGTTGAAGACCCAAGCTGCTAACTGTGTATTTCTTTACATTCACCATTTCATTTGACCGCTACTGTCTGCCCTTTTTAACTGCATTTATTTGAAGCCTGTTATCAATTTTAAGGTACATAGCTTATATTTTACTGGATTCCTTGTGGTACATCTTTCTTATAATGTAGGAATCTACTGTAATTTTTATTTGCTGCCAAAATGCAAACTCTTGCCTTCAACTGACCAGTGAAACTGGATTCTGTCACCCATATGTTACATTTTCATAGAAGCACCTCCTTTCTTCCATGCTAACCCTCATTTGTAGGAGGAGCTCCCTGTAAACATGTTACTTCATTACTCTCCTTCAAACCTCTCTTTAAACTCTAATGTGCAATGCCTGTAACACTTAGACCCCTAATGCAGTGACCCTATTGATTTATTATCCTAAAAAATAGCAACTCATTGTTTCCTTCTATTACCTATTCTGTCTATACTCCTGCATAGTATGTTACCAACTGATGGTTGTAGGGAGCAAGGACCATCATTTGTTCTATAATTATATAGTCTTTAACACAGTGGGGACCCAATTAGGGTTAATAGGTGCTATCATATAACAACGAATAAACAAATATCATGTTAAAAATTCTGGGAATGCCACTTTCAGAAAGATTGTGTGACTTCAATCTGAGCAATATACTGACAGAAAAACAGATGCATCCTACAGTTTTGTGGGAAGAATGATAGCAGTGAAATAACTCTGAGGCAATGTGTTCCCCAAGCAGGACTATACTCATGTACCAGGACCTTTGGGGAGAAAGAGAGAGAAACTTACTTTTTATTTTCATGGAGCAATGGCACTGTTGCCAGCCTGACTGTCTTGGGCTGCTAAGGCTAGAGAATGTATTGTAATGCATTTGGTTTGCACAGGACTCAAATGTTACAACAGTCATTTTTTCAGGGTAAGAGGCCTCTTCCTCTGGGAGAGAAGTTAATCAAAACATACATGACCTTTCAAGTAATGCAGCTGCTGCAGCACCAATGACACCAGATAATGATGAATATTAATGTAGGGATGTAGGGAGAGAATCTCTCTTGCAGTAAAAGACTGTATGTGCGAGATGAACCTGACATCATAAACCACAACATATGCAAGTTGTTATACCTAGTGCATTAATCCCAAGGCTCTATTATATCACTCTAGTCTTCTGGTACTAATCTTTCTGTCCACCTGTCCTTCTCTCTGGTATAGTTCAAATCATCTATCGTTGTGATTGCCAAGGACTAGAAAATAATTAG